CAGTTTGGACCTATGGTTGATACCTAGAAGCAGTTATCTTAAACAAATGAAAATAAGACTATCTCTTTGCAGGGATCATGATCCAATAAAAACCTGGCATAAAGAAAGAGAAAACCACAAGTAGACTGCTTAGAACACAGGTAACATTGCACATTTTAACTGAAGGACTGAGAAGAGAACAGACCTGGTGGTCCACGCCTATAATCGATCCCAGTAGTGGGAAGGGGGGTCAGGAGGACTCCCAGGAGTCTGAGGCCAATCTGACATACAGGATAGTCTGGGATACTGTCTCAAGAAAAACCAAACAGGAGCTGGGCAGTGGTGGTGCACGCCTGTAATCCCAGCACTTGGGAGGTAAAGGCAGGTCAATCTCTGTGAATTTGAGGCCAGCCTGGGCTACAGAGTGACTTCTAGGACAGCCAGGGCTACACAGAGAAACCCTGTCTCGAAAAACCAAAAACCAACCAAACAACAACAAAAACAAGAAGGCAAGATAGTCCAGCAGGCAAAGGCACCTGCAGTCAAACGTGACAACGCCCCCCCATCTTTGACTGACAGACAGACAGACAGACAGACACACACACACACACACACCCCAAATAAATAAAGAAATGCAAGGAAAAAAACAACTAAATAACAGAGAAGCCAAAGCTACAAGTACCCTGGGTGGACGGACCTTTTCATTAAGCTGGCAATAACTGAATTCTCTAAAATCAGTAACTAAATATTCTTAAATATAGCCCCTAAAATATCCCCTTATCTTTACATGTTCGTCTATATCTATCTGTGCTTACATATAACTGCAAAAATATATGAATTTGGAGGTATAATTTTCTTCATCTTCATCATGTATCCCTTTACTTAAATAAATATCAATTTACCGGGACGGAATGTAGTTTCGGGGCAGAATCTGGAAAGCCGCAGACAACTCTGGCACTGTATTTTTTTCAGGAGGGGGACTGTTTTCGAGACAGGGTTTCTCTGTGGAACAGCTCTGGCTGTCCTAGAACTCCCTCTGTAGACCAGGCTGGCCTTGAACTCTCAGAGATCCGCCTGCTTCTGCCTCTTGATTGCTGGGATTAAAGGCATGTGCCACTGCCGCGGCCGCTGCCACCACCACCACCCAGCTTCAGACTCTGTATTTTCAAAGCATGCCTGAAATCACAACCCAGTGACTAGAGAAGGGGCACATCTCAGATCCCCCTCGGTGGAGATTGCCAGCATCCCTCACACAGACACTGCCGAAGTCCCTTACCCATTTCCCTCACTTCTTACTCTTCACCGGCCCAGCTCGTTGGGCACATTCGCTGTGGCTCCCATTGTGTTACTGCCTTGCTCAAGCCTGTTGGGAAGGTCCAACCTGGTTATTAGAATATTTATAATCTGGGCCTTGCTAATCTATCAAATCTTGGGTACCCTACTCTGCTAATTCCCCGAGACTCATCCTTTCCTCTCACTGTCCTCAGCCAGAGAAGATGGAGACCAGGCAAAGCACAGGACGCCCCTTCCTTGTGCTCTGGGCTACTCTGACATCCTTCATCTTCATCCTCCCCTCCCCTCTTGACCTGCACTTGTCCTAGCTCAGCCTAGACATCAGCTCCTCCTGGAAGCTTTCACAGCTCTCCCTGGACACTGCACTCTACTGCTATGGGCGTGCTTGACCCTGTCAGGACTTCCTCCTCTACTACACTGCCCCTGCTGTTCCTTAGTTCCTTCATTTACCTGAACACAGGAAACGGAAAGGCAGGTTCACCAGCAGTGGAAGAGCGCATGGTATACAAAACTCCATAAACACCCGCTGACTAAGCAGTATGGTTCTATAAATTAATGTCATGACAATGTTTATAATGCATAAGACTTGGTTGTTATGTAAAGCATTATCATTGTGCCTTAGTTAAAACACTTTCAGGGTTGGCAGAATAAAGGCTCCCCGAAATGATTACGTCCCAATTCCATGAATCTATACATGCCCTCATGTTACAAAGAGAAGCGCAGCAGCAGATGGATGTAAGGCTGCCCATCAGTTGTCTCTGAACAGGGAGGTTACTCTGGATCACCTTGTGGGACCTGTGTGATCATGGGGGGCAGCAGAGTCCGAGTAGTGTGTGCAGGACTCCTCCTTAGAGGCCAAGGAAGAACGGCGTTGGCTGACAGCCTCCCTTTGGCCAAGAGAGCAAGGGCAGACTCCGGACCTACAGCAATGCATGACAGATAGCGTGTTTTCAGCCTCTAAAGTTGGGGGCATTTGTTAGGGGACTGGGGGGCTCTTTTTCTTTTGTGATGGGTATGTCTGGGGCTGGAGTCAAGGCTGATGGTAAAGTGGCTGCCACACAAGCATGAGGCCCAGAGTTTAGAACCCCAGAATCCACGTGTGACTCATGATTTGGAGGGCAGTTAGAAAAGTTCTTCTAGGCTCAAAGTCAGACAGGTAAGATGCAACTTGGAGCCCATGTCTCATGGCATCACCAGTTGTTATTTTTAGACATCAGTCATGTGCCAGTGTGCACCTCTAACACGAAACATAGGACAAGGCCCCAGGTTCAATTCTCAGTCCCACCATGAAAAGAAAGAAAAACCCTAGGACTTAAGAGAAGCCCAGACAAAAGAGCTCGGCAGCTAAGGCAGACTCACAGAGTTAGTTCTTAGTTCTGAACTCTCTAAGCCACGAGCCCCCCCCCCCCCCCCAAACATTCTGTGACCCAGCAATCACAAGCGCTTTAGAGCTCTTCTCTTCTGGCTGCCTGATGCACAGGACTGTTGTCCCGAGAACAATGCCGCAGGATATGCAGTATCAGTTTCCTCGGAGATAAGCGGGAAACAAGGAAGGCGCTGAGTTCCTGATCTCAGATCACAAAGGTAGCAGCCCCAGGCAGAGCAGAGCCTCCGGCCCAGAGCTCTACTAACGATACCGGCCTGACTCCAGGCTGCAGATCCCGTTCCTGGTTTTGTCGTCCTCCAGATTCCTGCCCTCCTGGTCTTGGACCAGCTGGATACGTCGTGAAGGGCAAGAGTAAAGCAAGGTGATATGCTGAATGTGGCAACTCTATTTGGGAGAGCCTTCCTTCCTCAGTCTCCACGTGCTATCTACCTCTGGTTCTGGCTATTTCCTGCACTGTTTTGTCTAACGTGTAGATACCATGGTGACTAAAGATAAGTAAACACCAAATGTTGTTATGGCAATCTTTAGACACTTAATCTGAACTCGTCTGTTAAGTCATGCAAAATTTATGAGCCATTGATTGCCAGGGGCTGAGGAACAGGAGACATGGACAGTGACTGCTAATGGGTTTCTGGTTTCTTTTGCAGGATCCAATACTGATGATGGCGCACAGTTCCGCGGCTATAATTAAACCACCGTGCCGTGTACTTTAAAAAGCAAACTTTGTGGTTTGTTAATTATGTTTCCGTTTTAACAACTTGCTGTTATAAAGAAACCGGACATTAACAAATGTTAGCAAAGAGACAGAAACTGTATCTCTCCCATATTTTAGTGGGGCTACAAACTGGCGGAGCCACACTGGAAAATAGTTCACCAGTTAGACATAATGCTACCTATTATGTAGAACTACCTCCCACTGACAAATGAGAGAAATAAAAACGTGTTCAGAGAGACATCACAGTAGACAGAAAGCATAAGAACCAACACGCTCACCTGTGTACACATAAATACTCGAGAATGTGCTACATCTATCCATGTAGTGGAGCATTACTTAGCCATAAAAAGAAAGAGAGTTCTTAAAGGCAGCACCATCAGAATGATCTCCTTCCTTACAGAACCCAGATCTTGCCAATCAGCTGGTCTATAGAGCCAGCTTGCCCCAGGAATCCTTTCTCTACCTAATAACACTGGGGTACACGCAGGCCTCCAGACCTGCCCAATATTATGTGGGTGCCAATAATCTGAACTCTGCAGGCTGGGGAGATGGCTCAGCGGTTAAAAGCACTGGCTGCTCTTCCAGAGGACCTGGGTTCAATTCCCAGCATCCACGTGGCAGCTCACAACTGTCTGTAACTCCAGTTCCAGGGAATCTAACAATCTCAAACAGACATATATACAGGCAAAACACCAATGCACACAAAATAATAATAAATAAATTTTTTAAAAATTAAAAAAAAGAAAATAATGAAAAAAAAAAAAGAATCTGAATTCTGGTTCTCGTGTTTGTTCAGCAAGGACTTCGTCCACTGAGCCACCTCCTCAGCCACCTCCTAGTTTTATATTTTACTCCAAATTTTAAAACTACAAATGAAACCCAGGATATGGAATAACTATAGTTATATATATATTTATATATAAAGAACTATATATATAAAACTATAGTTCTTATCAGCACAAGAGAGCAGGAGGGAGGAGGAGACCCTGCTAATTCACTAGGTCTCTTGCAAACACTGCCGGCCTGCATAACGTGCATTCCAGGAAGGACTGCCGGCCAATAGCATGCCAGCACTGCAATGCCTCTGCCAAAACAAAACAACAACAACCAACCAAACAAATAAGAGCAGGCACAAAAATCACCAGCTGGGGCTTCTCCCCAGGAGTGCCTGGTGAGGCAGACACAGAACAGCACAGCTGCAATCTCACCTGCCAAACTACATTCTGGAAAGAAATCTGCATTCCTCTGTATCCAAAGATATGCAGATATCAAAACCAGATGTCTTACTCAACACTGCTACCAGACATGCACAGATTTAAATAAGTCCATGTATACCGCTCACCTACAGAGTGAGGCAGAAAGATCTATGCACAGGTGTACTAGCACAGACCATCACAGGTCAGACACCAAGGCCTCGGTGATGGGGAAGGAAATCCTAAGGGCAGCAGGCAACCGTGTGCTTTATAAAGGATGTAGACTGAATACGTTATGATTCATCTACAGACTGACACTGTAAAGGACCACACAGTGGAACCTATGGATTCTGCTGCAGAACAAGACTGAAAGAAGAAAAGCAAGTTGAAATGCCGATTTTTGTTAAAGGACAGTAAGATCTGCAGGCCTTACCTGGAGGTACGTTCTTGGGAGTGCCTCTTTTGGCTCTTGGACTTTGATTTCCAGGGAGTTTTTGGTCCTGGCCCAGGGAAGGCTGGTCATCTTTGGGACCGTCACATGGCGTGTGCTCTGCTGTCTCACCGGGGGCTACCTCGCAGCTGGACAGGCAGCTTTCATTATTGTTGAGACTGTCCTGTTCAGACACTGTGGCTCTCCCCATGGCACTGTCACCGCCCGTCAGACCTGCAGGCCCGTCCCCGGCAAGCTGATTTTCATTTTCGTCTGAGACAGAAGGCAAGGGCGTCACTCTCCTTTCCACGCTGCCACCCGGGTGACATCCATCTTGTGGTTCTATCTGAAGACTGTATGTAGGAGGGTCGCTGTCATCCATTAGCGCATCTTTTGTGGAACTGTTTAAAGTTTCATCAAAGGCCTTCCATGCCTACAAAGACAAGAGAATAAAGAAGGCTACTTCATTCTGTAACCTCTGGGGGCCTGCGTGGTTTGCAGTTTCCCACTTCTTTTCATTTCACTGATATCCGGAAAGGAATGAACTCCATTCTTTCCTTCTTCTTCACCTGCACCCTCATCCAACTCTCACCCCGCTCTGCATGCCAGCACAGAGGCTCTCCCAGTGGCTGTCACTCAGAGGATGTCCCACTAAACCAGAGTGGGAAGGCGGCCTGCATCCTGGGCTTCTGAATGTGCCTCATGCTGGGGCAGCTGACTCGAGGAAAGAAATTCCTGGCCGCGCAGGTTATCTCTAAAAGCCATCACTCACGATATCCTGGATATGTGCCAGAAAAGTAAGCACCAGCTGCGCAAATACTTCTTCTTTGACTAAACAGCAGCAACATTTACAAATGAGAACAATGGAAGCCGTATTATATATATATATATATATATATATATATATATATATATATATATGTGTGTGTGTGTGTATATATATATTTTCTATAAAGGCACATGGGGAAGAGTCAAACCACATATATTTACTCTGCTGTTCACGACACCTTTTACTTTCTGAAAGCAATCACTGAGCACTGCCGAGGAGAACCTTACCATTTCCAGCAAAACCATTTTAAACAATCCCCTTTTTAAAAGAGGGTGGTAATAATTAATGCTGGAATTTTAGGGACACGCTTAACATTTTAAATGCCTAAAAAGTGCCTGTAGTCCCAAGTACTTGGGTTGTTGAAGCAGGAGAATGATTTGAACCTAGGAATCTGGGGTCAGCCTGAACAAGAGAACAGGCCTGGAAACACACAAGCCAGTTAGGTATCAGCCATTTTTTATCTTATCATTCAAAGGTACATTTTAAGAAGAAGTATGCCAGCCAGATTATTTATGCTTGCCTAGCATTATTTCTGGGTCTGAATCAACTATTCCAATAATTCTGAAAAAATATCTCCCCCTACTTAGGTGATAGTACTTAAAAAAAATCTTCAAACGGGTAAGTAGGAATTCTTATTCTTTAAAAAAATACATAAATAGGGGCTGGAGAGATACTTCTGGGGTTAAGAGCACTGGCTGCTCTTGCAGAGGACCCAGGTAAAATTCCTGGTACCCACACAGCAGCTCACAGATATCTGTATCTCCAGTTCTAGGAGACCCAGCGTTCTCTCCTGGCCTCTGCAGGCACCAGGCACAGCCACGCAGGCAACACATAAGATAAAAATAATAAAATCTAAAATATAACAGAAAGTATGCAAATAAAGTACAATTCTCTTTAAAATACATAAGCAAAGCCAGGCAGTGGTAGCACACACCTTTAGTCCCAGCACTCAGGAGGCAGAGGCAGGTGGATCTCTGAGTTTGAGACCAGGCTGGTCTACAGAGCGAGCTCCAGGACCAACAAGACTACACAGAGAAATGTTGTTTATAAAAACAAACAAGGGCTGAGGCTGCAGCTCGGTTGATAGAGTGCTTGTCTAGAATGCAGGAAGCCCTGGCTTGGATCCCAGCACCACACAGACTGGACACAGTAGCACAGACCAGTTGACCCAGTACTTGGGAGGCAGAGGGAGGCAAACCAGATACTTAACTGTCCACAGCTATGTAGCAAGTCAGAAGCCAGACTGGATACATGAAACCCTGCCTCAAAAATATATATACACAGATACATCATGCACATAAACATATAAATCACATATATGTAAACAATGTCTACAGTACTAATCCTACATAAATGTATTACATATTTGCAACATATTTTGCAACTGAGATGCCTTATTTCATGCATAAGGGCATTCTTAGAAAACATAATGTCTAAATCTAGCTGGTATCATTTTCCTTAAAACAGCTTATCTCTACTGGATCTAGTTTTACTGTTTTTTTTGTTTGTTTGTTTGTTTTGTTTTTGTTTTTGAGACAGGGTCTCTCTACATAGGCCTGGGTGTCCTGGAACTCACTCTGTAGACCAGGCTGACCTAGAACTCACAGAGCTCTTCCTGCCTCTGCCTCCCAAGTGCTGGGACTAAAGGCGTGGACTTCTAGTTCTACTTTAAACAGCCTCAGCTGCTTTCTAATTTAGAGCATCAGCAGGACTGCAGTGTGTTTACAGTCTGAGCACAGGCTTTGATCTGCTAACTGTAGAGACTCAGAGACCACACACTAAGGGAACCTGAGACAGAAGAAACAGAGCAGTTGGGGGAGCCCAACACTGATGAGTCTCGTTCCACACCCTTACTGTGGCAGCCACATGTCCGCCCTCTGGTCTCCAAAACAAGTCTACACTACAAGTATTCATATTGTGTTAGAAATGAAGGAAGAAAATACTAAGGCCATAATCCTGGGACAGAAGCAGAGCTGGACCTGAAACTCTGTCTTCCTGGTTCAATACAATGGCTGAGGACAGGGGCACACCTAGGTTCAAATTGTGTCCTTGCCATTTTACAAGTGGTGTGGGAAACATTAGGTGAGTTACCTAGCAACCACACACCTCATTTTCCTCATCTGCATGACTGTAGAACTGTAGAGTCTCAAACAGCTGAGTTTTCTTCTGTTTTTGGTGATACCAGGGATTAAACCCAGGACTTTCATAGATGAATGTACGACTATTAAGCTACAAGCTCCCAATGATTTTTCACTTTAAACATTTAGTGTCTCTGTGTATGCACATGCAACGCATACCTGCCTGCCTATTTCTCTGTATGGGCTTGTGTGTGCCACAACACATAATACATGAAGGTCAGAGAATAACTTGTAGAGTTGGCTCTCTCCTATCATGTGGGTTCTGGGTATTGAACTCAGGTCACCGGGCTTGGCTGTGAGCACTTTTATCCACTCATCACTCTGCCCCTAACTTTCTTGAATTTTCATCTGAGGCATGCTATTGCCAAGTTGCCCAGGCCAAGCCCAAATCTGCCGTGTAGCCCTGGCTGGCCTTGAACTCATGAGTCTAATGCTCAGCCTTCTGGATGCTACTTCCTATACCTGGCCAAAGGTCATTTGTGACGCTTGGGTAACAGGACCCAAGGTAAGGCGCTTCAGAGAGCACTTGGTCCACACAGCAAATGCTTAATAAATGTTCCTTCCCAAACAGACTCACAATGCATTACACACTGGTGGTTGACTCAAGGGACACTCAACCTTACCATATATTCAGAAACAGCTTTCCCAAACACTCTAGAAATGACCAGGTGCTGGATGACAAACAATGCTAACCAGCTTCATTAGAGAACACTGAGGTACCAATTTACAGTGGAGGATTCTCATTCAGTCCCTGCAGTCAGTATTCACGTGTTTCTTCTGAGTGTCCTGTTTCAGATGACTGAGATATTTAGAGATTAGTGGTTGGGACTACTTGGTAAGACCGGGGGGAGAGAGCTCAGTGGGGAAAATGCTCGCCATTCAAGCATGAATGAGGACATGATTTGACCCCCAGAACCCACATTTTAAAAGCCAGGAATACTGCTGGGTGTGGTGGCACACATCTTTAATCCCAGCACTTGGGAGGCAGAGGCTGGGAGATATCTGAGTGTAAGGCCAGCTAGGGCTACATAGTGAGACCTTGTTTCAAAACAATAACAACAGCAACAACAAAACAACAAAAAAGCCCCATGTGGTCGCACGCATTTGTAATTCCCACTGCTGGGAGGCTGGGAGGCAGAAGCAGGCAGATCACTCAGGCTCACTGGTCAGCTAACCTAGCCCTTTCAGCGAGTACATATATGTATACATGTAAAGGTACACAGCTCTGAGGTCTGGCCTCCACATGCACACATGAGCACACAAACACATACACACAGGATTCCCGGGAGCTGGGCATGATGTGCACACTGGTAATCCCAACATGAGCAAGGCAGAGGTTGGATCAGCCCTTGAGGGACAGCCCAGCTACATGAGACCCTGTTTCAAGAGCCAACGACTCCTTGGGAAGTGCAGACTTATACTCATTTGAAGCTTTGCCCCACACCAGGCCCCAAGTTAAGTGCATCCATACAACAGACTCAATTCTCACCATCTCCCAGCAGATGGTTACTTCTAGTCCTTTACATGGTTGGAAGCAGAGAGGCTCATCAACCACTTTAGAAATGGTATTTGGACTGAGTATGGGCAAAGCCAGACTCTTAACCAGTGTCCTGTGGAAAGAAACTAAAAAAAATCCACTCCAGTGTCCCTACCCGCCACCCACCCGAAGACAGAGACACGCCTCCAACGACCAAGGCCAGGTTTCTTGAGGTACTTTTCTCCTCCCTGGAAAATGCTACATCACTGAATGGATGGTTTCCCAGGAGCCCTCTTCCTTCTGTTGAGAGATTTTCTGGGCCGTCTTAGGGTAGGTCCACTCCCAGGAACATCAGAGTTCCTCTCCTTGGGCCTCACGACAACTTGCCTCCTACTCTTTTGTGACCACACAATTAGTTTAACTTTCAAAAGGAAAGCCTTCAAACTGTTTTCTAACACTAGGTCCCTTGATCTTTCTAAGATTTTATTTTTTTAATTTTATTTTTGTGAGACACCTAACATCGCCTCAAGGCCTGGCTCAAAAGTCACTTACCCCAGTTTGCCTGGCTGATTTCTCTGTCCTCAAAGACTCCCATACAATGCACTCCTCTCCAGCACTCTGCCAGGCCAGTCCTCCCCAAGTATCAGTCTGTACCAGAGTCCTCCCTGAGTATTGCTCTGCACCAGAATCCTCCCCAAAATATTGGTCTGCACCAGAGTCCTCCCCAAGTATTGCTTTGCACCAGAATCCTCCCCCAGTATTGGTCTGCCCAGAGTCCTCCCTGAGTATCGCCCTGCACCAGAGTCCTCCCCGATTATCGCTCTGCACTATTTCTGCATGAGTTTTTACATGTAGGATTTTTGAATGTCCACAGTCTACTTCTCCCAAGCGCAGTTTGTCAGTGTCTGGCTCCTGTGACTATCAGACACATGGATTCAGTCAGATGCCGACGGCCACCCGCAGCCGGACCCTGCTCTAAAAGGTAAAGG